TTAACTTATTTATTAAATAAAAATTTAAAACTTATATTTAAAAATATAATTTTTAGATCAATACTTCGGAAATCATTACAATTTTTAAGTTTATAAGAAATTATAATATATTTATAAATATCTTTTAAAATAAACTACCATTTAATTAAGTAAATGACTAATCGATAACAATTTTTGAATCAGTACCTCGTAACTTCTTAACATATTTATACTTAGGGCAGTAGAAGTATGCGACCAAAAATGTGTAATTACTATTTTTAAATTTAGTGGGTTGAAAATGAAACTAAGAAACGTCTTATAAAAATAGTCATATCGAAATACTTATATAAGAAAGCAATTGTAGAGTAATAAATGTATTGATTATTTTTAGTTCTATGGGCAGGTATTTGTGAAAACAAAAATCAAACAAGGCAAATGGTCAGAGCGACAAACTCAAATAATCAGATGAACAAATTAAAGTGTCATAAATGTATATTACAATAAACATACTGCACGACAGAAAGCAACTCGACTGTCAAATAGTAAGATAAACGGCCCTAATTTTACACAATAGTCACTCAGTTATGTTTTCTTTAGCTCAAATTATAGAAATAGTTAAACGTGCTTAAGTTTGTATAATTGAAAGAGCAGAGCGTTAAAAACATTCTTAGTGCTTATGAGCACCACGTTGACAGTATGCTTATGAACTCATCTTTTATTTGAATTTATCGCTCATACTACTTGTGGCTACAATAATTTGTTGCCGCTTTTAATATATATTTTCCATCTACAGAAAATGGTTGATTGAATTTATCGCTTAAAATTTGAGCGATATTCACCGTTTAATGGTGTATAGTAAATTAAAATTATTGCTATTAATAGACCATCCCGTTGGGTTATTTTCCTTGTTATTTATCATCCATTAGTATTGTTAATTGATTGCATTTGTAAAATGTATGGTGTTTATTATGTCAGCTAGTCAATTTTTGGTACCAAAATCAATCACCACTTTCTCTATATTATTGATGTTTTTCTTTTTTGTTCTACTTTTAGCAGAAATTGTTGTAATGTTTGATAGAAGTTTTTAATTTTCTGTTTACATTTTATTTAAGACTAAATGTATGTTGTAATCTACATTAATTAAAATATAGTTGTATATAAAATTTACATAAGAAAATCAATCCTTATAAAAAGAATATCAGCAAATCCGAATCTTCAAGGTTTATAATTTTACTGTTATTATTATCTTTTAACTTCATTACTAAATTTTAATTTTAATTATGTGTTGATTTCCTGTAATAAAATGATTTTAATTATTGTATTAAATAATTGTCTATAATTATATAATAATTGTTCTAATCAAATAAGTCAATTTTTATTATTTAATTAACTTTCTTTCTTTATTCTATTAATAAATGAAGGATATCAAATTTTAATTTTTTTAAAATAATATTAAGGCTACATAATTTAATAATATCTAAAATAAAAATCCTCCTAAAATATTCAAAAATTAATTTTTATTTTATATATGTATGCCAAATTTCGAGTTATTTCAATAATTTATTTGATCAATTAAAAAAAATTTAATTTTTATTGGTTATTTTGATAAATTAAAATATAAAATATAAATTGTATTTATATAATTGAAACTACATAAAACATAATAATAATATTAAAAAAAACTGCCCTTAAAAAGTAAAAACATGCTAAGCAAACAAATAAAACCGAAAACATTTCCAAAAAAAATGACGTGATATCATATTTGTTCTAACTTTTATTTAAAATTTTACGTTTACCTTTTTCTTAATATAGTATCTGTTTTAGCATAAAAAGGTAGCGTATTACACTAGTGAGTGAGAGTTTCGTAAGTCGAGTGGGAAGAAGAGAGTCGCCACAACAGCTAGGCTGACCAGCAGCATCAAATGTTTCACATTAAAAAAAGTTCGTAATATAAACACTCTCTTCATGTTGACTATTTATAAACTAAGTTTTTTATTTTATTTATAATATGATCAAAGTTGTGAATTATATGAATTTAACACATTTTGTTAATTTAATTCGACACACACTATTAGTTATTCTTCATACTTGATAATTTAATTCTAAATTTATTTTGAATTTTATTTCAGTTTTTAGCTTTTAAACCTGTTGTTGTAAGTTGTCATCTGTACTTTTAAGTATGCACTTGTAAGTAAAATACTTTGATATCATAAGATTAATATCCTAATTATATTAATAAACAAAAATTATTTAATCATGATTTTATTATTGCCTAGACTATATCATGAAAAATAGTCGCATATAATATAAATGCAAAGTTCTAAAAAAACCTTGAGTGATTTCATGACAAAACATCATGACAAAGATGACACAGGTCGCGGGATTGTATCAATATATTGTACTATAATATATCTGCCAGTCGTAAAAGGCGACTAATAAGGTCGCGTCAGGTCAACAACCGGCGTAAAATTTTTGTCAAAAAGTGTTAGGAGTCCTGAACAAAACTTAGGCGGATTGTCTCATTTCGGATGTACGCGGGGACAAAAAGTGAGAGGATATAAAGTAGCTAAAAACGGAGAAAGCCTAAAGAATGAATTGTTTGATACCAGCCGGACAACTTGTGTGGTAACTGTTTCATTAGTCATATGTCAGATCTACCCAACGCTTGTAATGTCAACAGTGTAAAGACAACACTACTTAACTCTAGGCTGGACTCTTGTATAAAGAGAAATACAGTAGAACTCCAATTTATTTTTGTATTGATTGAATGCGATATGATGACGGCTGATGTGAGCGTAGATGATGTGGGTGATCGTTTCAAGTGGAAGTTTAGGATAAGGGTGGTCGACCCCATGAAGTTGGGATTAAAGCGAGGAAAAACAAGAAGAAGAGCAAAAAACTATATGCATTTAAGAAGTGTAATAAACAAAAAAAAAAATAAAAGTAATAAATTCATGGGAAAATGAGGGTGGGTAAAGATGAAGTGGTATCTCAGGGTCGAACTATATTTATTTATTAAATAACAAAATATCCCTACCTCATTTATTCCTATTCTTGTTTATTACGTGATTTTTTAAAAGTAAGACATGCATCTCACAAAAATAACCGTATTTAGTTGATTCTGACGAGTAGAATCTGACATCAATCTAAAGTGTTAATAGTTATTATAGCACTATTTATTTATAGCTTATTTAATTATAACTGTACTATTTATAGTCTAAATTATATTATTATAGTCATTCGTCAATTTAAGTGTTACTTTAATTAATATTACAATCTACGACACACTTCAACATGTTACTGTGTATCTGGGGTACAACAACTGAAACACATCAAATAAAGTAAAAACCTTAATCATTCATATTATAAAATAATAATAATAATAGTTCTTAGATTATTTAAATATTATAGCAAAATAGATCGTTTATTTAACATTTTTGTTTTATTCTCAATATCATTTTAACTTCAATTGCAATATAATATTAAATCACTAAAATTCATGATCTAATCAAAATATTAACTTATTTTTAATTGATGATGTAGAATATCAAGTATTAATCCTTTATATATTTTGTATAACCTTTTTATAAATACTAGACATATGTAGGGCTATGCTTATAAATTTAATAAACATGATGACTTCAATAAAATAATTAATTTTGTATGATATTAATTTTAAAAAAGCCAGTACAAGGGGGTCGCGGCACAGTGGTGACGTGGCATAGTTGGATCAAGTATTGAAATCTTAAAATTAAGTGATTAAAATCACTATATAAAAAAAAACGCTTCGATGCAAATCTTTAGATAGTGTTTAATTTAAAAAAATTGGTGGATTATTCCAAAAGTTACATGATCTGCTAGTTCCTTATAAATATATTATTAAGATAAAGTATGTCGAATGAAAAAGGGATTATTAAAAAATATTATTTATCATAAAAAAATTGTGTTGATCCAAATTTATCTATTTACCAAATGTGTCTATTTAATAAGTTATAGCATTATAGAATTAAAAATAAAAAAATAAAATCGAGAATTTTCACACAAAAATACCATTGGATAGCCATTTTCACCGTGAAAACAAAATAAAGTCCGAAATTGTTTATTTCCATAATAAAGTACATTACATTAGCTTTAATTTAAGATATATATAAAAGTGTCAGTATTTCCGGAACACTTTCAAAAGTTAAGTTGAAAAAGTTAATTTTTTGTGAAAAAGTTGTCATTTTAAAACCTCCCCTGTGGGCAGGTTTAGGGTCAAATTTATAAAAAAACTATACCAAATAATAGGTAAAAACATAAAGCATCTATAAAAATAAAATTATATTGATTTGTTCATTTTTGAAAAAGTTATGGCAGTTTTAAGTAAAAAAAATGTCTTCGACTAGATACGATTTGTGATCTTTTAACGTATCATTGATAGAAATCGGTTCGGTGAGAGCTGTGAAAAAGTGGTAACAAACACACAAAAAAAAAGTATGCGATAGTATGTCGGTACCAAATTCGCCATATGCTGAGTCAAGTTAAGCTCAATTAAACCTATGTTTAATATTCATAATCATAATCTTACTTTGAATCTATATTGGCTAATATGAATAGTCAAATGAAAACCAATTTCAATGCTAATGCTAACATTCATCTTGTTTACGTGATACAATTAAGTTGTACATGCAAATAAGATCTATCATACGACGATTTTTAAATCCACTCCTCAACTTTTGTCTGTTACCTGTAAATAAGCTAAGTCAATAAAAATAAAAATAATCTATGTAAAAATAATTTTCAACCTTTATAAAGTAAATTAGTGTCGTCTATTAACTATTAGTTTTAATTTTATTATCAAAAGTATTACTAATTATTTTTTTACCTTCAACCCAACTTTTATACCCATAATCAGACTTTACGGTGAATAGTTTTTCATACAATTCTCGTGAATTCAGATCGACCGATGTGCGTTCAATTAAATCGTTAGTAATTGCCTCATATTTTTCATACTCTGCATTATTAACGAAATATTCGACCACTACATCGACCCAAATGTTGATATATTGTCCGGTATGGTTGACATCTCTTAATAATGTCCTATGTCGATAACATTTATTGATTTCACAATCACAATATTTAAAATTGAAATCTCAGTAACAGGTAGTATAACAATATTTTCTTAATAGTCACATTATTTAAGAATTATTAATATACCAATTTCTTAACATAAACACTTTATAAAAATGTAAATTCCCATATATGATTTTCATGAATGAAAATACTTTTTCTTATATTACAAAGCATATGCAATAGTACCAACAGAAAAAAAAAACTAGAGATCTTAACTTCTATAAGTGAATAATTATACGTATAAACAGGTGATTATAGACATATTAATGTGTAAATACTCAAGTGGTGTAGGAAAGTGTCTATTATTTGGAAATATATGTCCTGTGATAATTTATTTAGTTCTTATATTTGACGTACTAAGTAATCCATATATATTTATTAGTCTATCTCTATCGATCATGATCGGGTTAGATCGAATCGATCAACAGAGATAAATATCCTGAAGTACCTATTTGCATGTATAGTAGATGTATTACACATGAATCATTTAAGTATATTATACATATGGCGTACTATAAGTATCTACGATAACGTCTCCTAGTTATATGAAATGATTAGAGTAGACTTAGTAGCAATTGTCTTACTATATGTATACCTATATACACATTATTGAGTACGAACAGTATATACCTTACGACATGTGTCAAAAATATTATTTACTGATATTATTTAATAATTGTTCTACTGTACATCTATAATATACACCCGTGTTTAAATAGAATACAACTAGGTATATTATGCGATTGAGCGACGGTTAGAACAGAAAGCTATGTAAACCAATTTTCATAATCCTGATAAATCTCGATTATAGGTATATACACAATAGTTTGCTATTTCATATGAATTCAGTTATTAAGATATTAAAGTGAAAATATTTATACAACAGATTTAATCATAATATTTAATCAAATTCTTTTGACTATTATTCAGTTACACTACTGTATTTATTATTATACATTAATGCGAAACGTTAATGTATAAAGTATATGCATACATATATTTGAAAATCATGAGTTTAAAATTAACTATTATTATAATAAAGTGAAAATGCTTAAGGACGAATAAAAGGGTTAGTATACAGGGATTTGTGATATGCGATTAAACGAATCAAAACCAAATAGTATATTATACCAAAGATGCTGACTTCAAAATATCTGAAGCGCTGTTTCGTAATAATAACAATTTAGTGTTGGAATCCAGAACGGTGGATGAGTGCAGAATCTTATTAAATATAGAAAATGTTAAAAAAAAATTCGGACGTCATTTTGTTTTCATAGTATTCGTGTCTTATCTCCTGCAATTACTAAAAAGATGTTAATAACTTCAAAAATATGAGAATCAATTTTGAAATCGAAAATATATACGGTTTAAGGTCAACGAAATGGTATTAGAAAATTTATTTTTCATGTAAAGCAACTTATAAATAATCATATCGATTATTATATTATATTAACTATTAATAAAACGATTAACTATATCAGTTAAATAAATAAAAAAAGATTATCTATAATATTTTAAATTTATTAACAATAAATAAGCTTATCTTAAAAGTTATAGATGAATTCGAATTTGAATTTTATTAAACTCAGAAAAACCTTCATTATTGAATTTTTTTATTTAAGACAAAACAAGCAATATATCTCTATAAATTTCATAAGTGTAACATTTAAAAATTTAAAAAATAATAAATAATCAAAAACTGCAATTAATATTATTCAAGTTAATTTATTTCTACAGAAATATGAATACAAGTCAATGAAATTGTTTTATTCTTAAAAATATTGATGAGCATTTATTTATAATTTATATCACACAAATTAAAATTAAAGAAATCATTTTGACTAGTTCAAATGACAATCACTAATTCGTTTAGTATCAATAGATTTATTCAAATAAAATGAAATTATATTTTTTAAACTTATAACTAATTATTTTAGTATTTTTCCTTTTTTTAATTTTTTTTTTTAATTACTACAATTATTCATTCAATGTTTTACAGAAAATCGATCCTAAAACTCATTACTGAGAAAATGTATGTTCCTATTTCAATGGACAATTTTTTCTTCATCCTTGAAGTTTTGATTGAACAGAGTGTATCTTAATCCAAAATCGAAATAAAAAACATAAATACCATGGTCAATTATTAATTCTAAATTTTCCTGATAGAGATCAATTAATTCCTCATCTTTAATATTCAAATCAATAACTCCACATAAGGAATTAATAAAATTATAAATAATATTTTCTAAGTGGTTTTCAACAACGTGTTTTTCTTTAAATTTCTGAAGAGTTTCGTCAAATTCTACGGCATCAATTATATCAATAAACTTAACATAAATCATATATTCATCACAATTTGCTATTGTAGTGTTATCAATCCATTCTTTGAATTTTTCAAGATTTTTGAGCACTTCTTCTTCCTTAAAGTTAAAATACTTCAGGCCGTTTATCATATGGATTATCAATTTTTTCAACATAGTTATACTTGTCCATAATTTTTTTAAGCCACTCAATTGTTCATCATACTTATCTAAATCCATATAGTGATTTGCTTTATTTCTAAACTTTTTATAAAGTTCTTCCATAAGACAGACATAAATTGAATTTAATAATATACCACCATATTTGTAACGCGTATCTGGATCTTGTGTGTCTAGAAACTCTACACAGATATCACTAATATTTGAATCTCCTTGATAATTTTCAAAATAACAACTCAGTCTTAATGAGCTCCATCCAAAACTGTTCATAACTATCATTATATTCTCGTTATTTGGCTTATCGTTACAACATGAACCAGATATTAAGTATAGTGTAATAAATATTGACAAAATTACAAATAAATTCATTATTCTTAATTTACAGAAATTAAAATTCGATAAATGAGTAAAAGTTTTCAAAGAAATAAATTATTTTTATCTAGCTTTAATCGTTTTTATTTATTGTAGGTAGTAGCATATAATTATTATTAGATATAATATTAAATCGTGCGCACTTATTTTAACTAAATGTGGACTAAATTTGACTGTACCATCCGTATATTTTATCATTTTTTACATGCTTATGTAAACATTTATTATTAACCTTGTAATTATTATTATTATTATAATAAAATAAATATATTATATACAAATAAGAACACTTTTTTTTTTTTTTACATTATAAGTTTATTATAAGAAACAAGTACTATATATAAAGTTATTGTTTATAAATTATTAATGTAAGTTAATTTTCTGACGTGTTTGGGTTTCGACCATTATGAAGCCCATGGACTATAACTATTTTCCCGGGTAAACACTGTTGTATTTTTTTTGTAGCTATGATTTATTTCCCTTACTCTCACTTGACTTACTTTTTAAAACGATAAGTCAAATGATTAAAATTCGTATTTAGTTGAAGATATTATCCTTAAAAATTGAAAAAAATCTCTTATTCAAAAAAACAGTAGCTTCACCCGCTTTCTCCATATAAACAATTAAAATCTTTTATTACTAATATTTTTAAAGTATTTGTTGTTGAATTAGATTTGATATGATAAAGAATGTTTAACTACCACCAAAGTAAATAATTTTACTTTGTAATTTATTAATTTTTATAACTCTATTTGTGTGTGCTACTACCAGTATAAATCATAAATCTAAAAAAAATGATTATTTCAATAGTAGAGTCTTTTTAAACATCAAAAGTCAATTAGAAATTATTTCTTTGATTTTTATTTAAGTGATCTATTACGATAAAAAAAAAATATTGAAAATAGCTGTTCTGATAAATTTACTGTAAATAGTATTTTTAAAATTTCCTGACTGCATATTTATCTTAACAATACAATTTTTTTTAATTTTCATACATTTTTCTAATACAGTTTAAATATTTGTTGTTGAATTAGATTTGATATGATAAAGAATATTTAACTACCACCAAAGTAAATAATTTTACTTTGTAATTTATTAACTTTAAATTTATTAGATCTAATATTAAATCGTACGCACTTATTTTAACTTAATATGGACTAAATATATTTTTGCTTGTTAATAAAGAGAAATATTTATTTTAGAACTACTTAAATAGCTGTTAAATACAGCTGTTCATATTTTATATTTTGTATTGCAATAAATTATGCACTTGTTTTTCGCAGAGTTATTATATGAATATTATATTATATTTACGGGGAATGATGGAAATTTTTTAATTTTTGAGGGTAATATCTTCGACTAGATACGATTTGTGATCTTTTGACGTTTTGCTGCATTTCTATACTTTTAATAAAGTTGTTCCAGAACACTGACATAAATTGAGTTTAATAGTATACCACCCAATTCGTAACTCTCAACTGGTTTATGCGAGCCTAGAAACGCTACCCAGATATGATAACCATCATCTGAAGGTCCTTGATAATTTGCTTAATATAATTTCTGCTTTAATGATGGCCATCTTAAAGTATTTATAACTGAATTTATGTCTTTATCAGTTGGCATACATATTGAGATAATTACAAATAAATTCATTATTCTTAATTTAATGAGATACCCCTGTGGGGTCGGGGATTAGAATTGACCCACAGTAACTCCTGCTTATCGTAGAAGGCGATTAAAAAGAGGTAGCGGAGGGCAATGATGACAATTTCAATCTAAATGTTGAACTTAAAGTTGTAGTACTAAATTAATTTTTTTTCTATAAACTTTCAAAAAAACAACTTTAAAAAAGCAAAAAATTGGTTAAAAATTATATTTTGCACCAATTATTTTTAACATTCTAATAATTAAAGTCAATAATAATTTTATAATATATAAATATTCATTTTTTAAAATTTAGTAATAATATCAAAAAGTAATAGAAAAAGTCTAATTGCAGATTTGAAAATGTGGCGAAAATTTGATTTAAATAAGTATATTTTTGTTTCTGATGGAAGTTCTTTGTAGTTCAGTGTATTTATTCTTAAGTAACGAAAAAATTAATTTTTTTTATCAAGTTATTATTAATTTGTTATACGTTAAAAATAATCTGTGCAAAAATTCAATTCAAAATGACATATTTAACTTATATTTTTGATTCATCAAAATTGATTTTTATAAAAGATTGTAATTCAAAAATGTTGAATTTTTAAACACAATTTAGGTAAACTTGCAAGTTTAATAGAATTTATATTATTAAATAGAAAATTTTATGTGGAATAAAATGCTCTTATTTTAGTTTTGATGCGAAGCTGAGTAGGTATTGGTTTTACTATGATGTGTTTTTTTTGTGTCTGTTACTACCTTTTCTCAGCTGTCATTGGACCGATTTTTATCAACAATAAGTCAAAAAATCACAAATCATATCTAATCGAAGACATTACCTTCAAAAATTGAAAACATTTCCTTCGTAAATGGGGAAAATCTCCAAAAAAATTAAAAATCACTAATTTTCTCGGGTAAACACTATTGTATTGAAATATGTTTGTCCATCGTTTTAATCGCACATTTCTTCTTCTTTTTCCTAAAACATAATTATAAATTTAATAACAATAAAGATTATGACAATCTATGTTTATTAAACTCACATTAATTTGAAGCATGGTTTTGGACCATGACTTGACCCAATTATCAACTATTACATTGTATGCTAAATTCTTCAGTTTGCTTATGTAATTACTGTCACCTTTAGGAATAGTATCGCATATTTCTTTGTCGTTCAAACTTCTTATAAAATTAACCATTTCATCATTGTTTGAATGTTGAATTTTAGGGCCCGACCATTTACCGTCATATTGTATAATGCGATCTATTTGATGGCATAATAGTAAACGTGTTTTTTTTTCTTGATATTGTACTGATTTTATTGCAAAAATTTTCTGTCGCTGAACGCAATAGTGTAACTGCTAGAGTTAATCATCTCGCCTGGCGGTGTTGGTGCGATATAAATGTAGCGCTGTTTTCTTACAGGTTCGGCAGCCATATTGTTCATAGAGTAGAGTCTTCTTCTTAGAGCTGATGGTTAGAGCTTGTCTCACTGTAGTCTTGTAGAATTTACCTTTCAGATCATTGGAGTTCTTTTATCGCATATGTGCCAGACACTTCTCTCTACTTCAACCACCCGCGCTTAATTCTGTGTCTTACATCCTCGTCAATACCACCACTCTTTTGCACAACTAACCCTGAATACTTAAAACTCTCCACTTCTCTAATCACGTCCTCGCCTATTGTCACTGATTTCCTTATTTCATCTACCTCGTTTTCTCCTTTATAAAACTCGTACTCTATCTACTTTGTCTTAGTTTTACTTATTCTTAAACCATTTTCTTCAAGAGCTGATCTCCACACTTCTACCCTTTGATTAATTTCCTCCCTATTTTCTCATATTAACACTATATCGTCAGCAAACAACATGCACCATGGCGCCTCTTCTTGTATTTCTCTAGTAATTGCATCCATCACTATAGAGAATAAGTAAGGGCTTAAAGCCGAACCTTGGTTCACTCCTTCTCTTACCTGAAAACCTTCTGTTACTCCTCCTACGCTTTTTACCCTGGTACAAGTGCCATATACATATCTTCTATAATAGTATCCCCAGGTAACTATATTTTTACCATCGCTTAGTGTTACTTTAATAATTGTCAAGTCTGCAATTGATAGATTAAGTTACTTTTTCGTTTACCAAAATGAAAGTTCTAGGTTTATCTGTTTATTTATGAAATAGTTTGGTATAAAACCCTTAATCTGATTACCATTTGTCCATTGTTTCTGAATAAGTGTTATTTAAAGGGTGTTATATGCCCTCAGTTAGATTCCTCAGTAATACATTACTGGCTCCCTTACTGTATTGCAAATTTATCTGGGTGAATTGAATTCTATTGTCAGCCATTCAGACAACTGATGTTGACGCATGAGAAAACACGCTGGACTGGGTGTGATGTTACACGACTCTCCCTACAGGTGGTGTCCTCCCACCGTCCCCAAGTGGCGATCATTCTTTAGGTTCACTTTCACATTTCCTTTTGAATCCGTGCAGAGGTTCCTTTCAGTTGTGGCCATCATTGAGGATGGCGATTTCCCGAGTCCCTTTCTCTTACATGACCTACTTCCTCCCTTCCCTTTCGAGGCAAAAGTGAAATGTGTCCGTTTTTCCTTACCTGTGCCTTAACACCTTTTCTAAGTATCACTGGTGATTCTAAAGCCTTTCTCGTCCCAGATTTTTGAGGAGCTCGTTTCACTTCCTTCTGGGTTGATAGCTGCTTGACAACATAGACCATGAAGAAAACTGCCTATTCCAAAATGCCAGGTGCCATAGAGAATCCTAATGGTCACTTTATCTTTTGGTTAACTACCTTGCGAAAAGTTAGCAACGCTATCACTTGATATGGTTGGGTGGGGGGCCTATTCATTGTTAGCAAGCAGGTATACACAGGCCTACCGGTCCCAATTAACCAAAGTCATGACTGGCTAAGAGAAGTGGTATGTGTTGTCACCCTCATTGAATACTATGAAAACAAACATGCATGAATTAAAATTATTACTAATCTATTGTTTAAAAACTAGTAATACAATAAAAAGTTCAATTATATTAAATTTTTTTTTAAATTTAGTTTAGCTTTTTTTTTGTAAGCAGTCTATTAAAGTTCTCTCATATTTTTCTATTTGTAATTTTTGGTTGCAATTGTATTTGTTTTTTAGAAGTATAATTGGCTTAAATTCACTATTGATAATTTGAGGTGTGAAAGGTTAAACGTTTACTTTTAAGATGCTGTAAACTTTGTTGGTTTTTGGGAATTTTATCTGGATCATATTTTTATTAAAACTTTCTATTTACCCAACCAGATATGGATATCCTAGTGTTATCGCATTTTCTAGGGAAACAATTTTCAAAACATTCTACTACAATAATGAGTTTGTATTTTGTTAATAAATAAAGCCTTACAAAAGACGTAATAAGTTACGCGTGATAAAAAGTACAGAGCTTTAAATTATTCATTTTCTATTGGTAAATTCCCTTCTTATTGTAATGTTTCATTTTCCGTTGTCTCTATTATTTTTTGCGTTAATGCATTACATTGAGTTCTAACCCTTTAAAATGGTAATACACACTCTGGAATTTCAATTCCTTGTCATTGACGTTGATTCATGTTTTCAAATACTGCAAATTTCACTGGAACAGGATAATATTTTATTATATATTGTATATTATATTGTATAATATTTTATATTCCAGATAATTATTATATAGAAATATGTCTTCTATATCCCTTAAGTTTTCGTTTGAAGTATATATAAAACTTCTGTAAACACTGAATCCAATAATTGAGTTTAAAGTTGTCTGGGTGATAATCTGTTGCTTGAAACTTAAGTGCTTTCGTCCTACTTTCCTAATCAACAAAACCTAGATCACAAAAAGATTCACTGCTGTCATCATCGTCAAGTTCATCATGATGAAACAAATAATAGTGATTATGACAATCAAGTTTTATCAAGTAAATTTTGTGAAATTAACTTGTAACGTCACTCAACCGGGTGTTTATGTAAAAAATATTGGAAAATATGAAATAGACAAAATTTTAATTTTTAATTTTACAAATTAACGATTAACAAAATTAAAAAAATGTATATTTAATATACATAAAAATACAAATTTTATGTAATAATACAGAAATATGAATTTTCAGTTATTTGTACCAAAATATACAAAATAAGCAAAAAAAAATCATATAATCTACACTTTTTAAAACTCTAAAATTTTTAAACAAAATTATTGTTAGGTTCTTGAAGAATATACATTTGCGAAAAATTCCGGATCTTATAAATGACTTAAAGAAGTATTGTTATAGTTATAAAAAAGTATTGGTTCATTGGAACCTATGGTTAGTATCCATAGTAATGTATAAACAACGGCCAGTAAATCGATATTCTACATAACTTATGTGTTTTTATAGAATGCATTTTTGAAATAATTAATAGTATTTATAAAATATTATAGATTATAATAAATGCTTGAAATTTAATTCGAAAAAAATTATGGAAATCGAATACTTGGGAATATCACAAAAAATATTTATAAAGTGTCTGAAATCTTTTCTTGATGATTTAAATAGTATTGATTATAAAACGGTAAGGATAATTAAATGATAATAACAAAATAATATGTGTTGTGCTTTTTAATTATTATTTGTATGTATGTGTAATAATAATATTCCTACACGAATAATATTTTTGGGAGTTATAAGTTAATTTCCCCCCATTCAAAATATAATATCGGAGTCCCCTTTTGTCTTTTAGAGCACCCTAGTGTTTTTATAAACCATGTCCTTCAATACCTTCTCTTTTGTCGCAGAATTCACTAATTTATGCTAATAATATTATTAATGGTTTTGTGTAAAACAAAAATATTCAACGTTTGCTACTTCTATAAATAATTCTATATCTCATTTAGGTTACGACTGATTATGTAGTTTACATTTATACTAATATATCTATAGTTTTATATTAGTAAGTATATAGTTGAAACTATACGATTTCTCTAATGCGTTCATAGGACGTCAAGTAGATAATGGCCACGCCGCACATGAGCCTAATAGAAAAGAAGCCCAAATCCAACATGAAAAATTTGGATAGTGTATTTATGCTCATTGAACTAAAAATAATATAGTTATCATAAATTTTTATCTCTATCTCAGAAATCGTGTTTTTAGGAATTGTTTAGTGGTCTTACTAAGGAGAGTTTTAATAAATGTATTGAATTTGTTCAACTTATAATTGATCACCATCAAGGAAGTATGGCTTGTAAAACCAACTACAAAACACAAATGTTAAATTATAATATGCAGAGTTCTAAAAACTATAAAACAACAAATGAGGGTACTAATGTATATAAAAATAATAATAATATAAAAAACTATCAAAAAGTTTTCGACAAAGTTAATCATAAAGCAGAAAAATTGAACAATATGCATCATTATTTTGAAATTAAAGATAAACAAATCCAAGGAGTTATAATAAAAACAATGTAAGTAAACATTACCAATATAAAAATAAATAAGTATATAGGTATATTTTAGCTTCGATGCGAAGCTGAGAATTTCTTTCAATGATACGTCAAAAGATCACAAATCGTATCTAGTCGAAGACATTACCCTTCAAAATTGAAAAAATTTCCCCCGTTCCCTGTAAATGAGGGAAACCTCCAAAAAAATTACAAATTTAAAAATCGCTAATTTTTGAAATTTTTTCAATTTTTTTTACTAAAAACTGCCCTAACTTTTTCAAAAATGAACAAATCAATATAATTTTATTTTTATAGATATTTGATGTCTTTACTTATCATTTGGTATATTTTTTTTGTAAATTTGACCTTTTATCTGCTCACAGGGGAGGATTTAAAATGACAACTTTTCACAAAAAATTAACTTTTTCAACTTAACTTTTGAAAGTGTTCCGGAAATACTGACACTTTTATATATATCTTAAATTAAAGTTAATGTAATGTAATTTAATTTGAAGAAAAAAATTTGACCTCTGGACTTGTCTTCATGGTGAAAACGGCTACCAAATGCTATTTTTGTGTGAAAATTCTCGATTTTATAATTTACATTTTTTACTTTAAAGTGCTATAACTTTTTGAAAAATGTATGGATCAATACAATTTTTTATGAGAAATAATATTTTTTAATAATCCCTTTTTTATTTGACATACTATATCTTAATCAGGATATTAATAAGGAACTAGCTGATCATGTAGCTTTTGGAATAATACACCAATTTTTTAAAATTAAACACTATTATTTAAAGATTTGCGTGAAATCGTTTTTTTTTTTATAGTGATTTTTATCACTGTCAGATATCATTATACTTGATCCAACTATGCCACGTCACCACTATGCCGCGACCCTCCTGTGCTGGGTTTTATGACGTGTAATTTTGGTGCAGAATTTTAGCAAACATTGTTGACATCGCGTTGAATAGAAAGCCTAAATGTAACGGAGTATAATGTAATCGCCGTATTTCCTGTTTGGTCGACATCAATTAGAGGAAATATACGAGAATTAAGAAAATAAAATTTTTTTGTTTTCTCGGTTTTAAAACCAATGGGCAAAATTTTTGATAGGAATTATGTTGTTATTAAAAGGCATTTAATTACATAAAACCTGTTGCAGCTATTTTTCAAAAGGAAGTTGAAAAATTATTCCAAAACTGTCCATTTGCTGGACAGATTATAATTTTAGTGGTCAACTTTAGAAAACTACATTGATGAGTTAGTTATCAGGAAAATATATTTTATGTAAAGAACAGCCCAGTTTGAGGAGAATTGTAGATTCTTATAAACTTTATAAGGACATAACTTATAAAGTACAAGAGACTGCTATAACTTGGTTAACGCTGATAAATTTTACCAATTGTACTATCCAAGTTATGATTACATTAAAAGAAATAAAATATATCATGTGTTCTAACTATTGAATTTCTTTGATTATTAAATTTAATAATTTTATCCTTTTGAATCGAACATCATAATGTAATTCTACAACATATGGAACAGACTCTAAATATTCTATTCTCAAAGATAGACATATTAATAAACTCAACATTTTTTAATTAAACTGCCATCCAAGCCTTTCTCATTTGTTCTATAATTATTTATAGTATGAAATCTCTTATTTAAATTATGAAACATAAAGATTTTACTTCCATTTAATTTTTACTCACTTCGTTAGACAATAATTTTGTTGACTTCCTATTCAAAGTCTCCATCTATCCGTCATTTACTTCGAAAAAGTACTTTTATTTCATGACTTGTTCTAATCACCAATTTTTTAATACATAATACCGTATTATACATTAGACATATTTGTGTATTATTAATAATATTAAAATAATATTATTATTAAATGTATAGAATGAATACTGAAGCTACTATTATAACCATGGTTAACGAACATGAACAAAAAATGGCCAATTTACAGGATAACTTAGAAGTTTTTGAATCGAAAATACAATTGTACTCTAAAGAAGGTGTAAATAAAAAAAATAAAAAAACGATTGAAAGGTAAATTAAAAGTTGTAATAACGTAACTAGTGACCTTAAAATTTTAAGAATTGATGTTTAATTATCTTTATGAATTAGAAATATTTTAAAGGAGAAATTAATAAAATTGATTAAGAAATACGATTTAGAAATGATTGAAAAACACAAGCAAGTAATTGATCTTAATGAAAAACTCAAGGTAGTTGATGATAAAATTGTCTTTCTCAAAGTAAGCTAGAGATTCTTTAGTAACATAATTTTTTTATGACGGTTAAAATATAAATAATTCAAAAATAATTTTTTATGCTTAAAAATGTTTATATTTTGTTGAACAATAGTGGATTTTAATAATTTTTCTTTTTAGTTAAATAGATTTGTGCCATTTGAAATAAATTAGCTATGATAATATAATTAAGAATAAAAAAATATGTTTTTAGGAATCAATTGATAGCCAAAAGATAAAATTTGAATTGGTTATGAAAGAAAAAGAAAAAGAAAATGAAAGATTATGGTTAGAAAAACTTACAGAAATTCAACGAAAAATTGCGGCTCGCAAAATTCAATCGAGTTTTAGACAATATTTAAACTATATTCGAACAAAGGCAAAAAAGTTCAAAAACAAGGGTCAGTCAAAAAAAGTGCTGAAATCATCTTCCCTTCTTGAATAATTATCCGATAGAAGTATACTATTGTTATGGTACCGTGTGTAGTTTCCGTGCACATTATATTGCATGTTTTTATTACAACTGATGTGGAAATTTATGCAATTTACTGTATTGACCAGAAATTGTCATCTTACATTTTTTCAATGGCAAATTAAACAAAATAAACTGTACTCTGTAACTGCTTGTGGTAAAGAAAACATAGAGCGGAATTATATTCGACGAAAAAGAAATCGACTCAATTACCATGAAAAAATTATAATGATTCCTCAAGGAAAACAGTCTAACAACTGGTTTTACGAGACACATTAATATTAGTTAAAACTTCAAATTGATAATTAAGAAAACTGTAAATTACCAAAATACAATCAATTTTAATAGGGGCGTTATAAAAGTACTTATGGGAGTAGAAAATTTCCTCTTAGACATTGCACTTCTAGGAATATATATGTTTTAAATAGTTTATGATTTCAATTATCTGCATAAATGTTACACACCAAGTACTTCAATATATAAAATATAAATTTATACTAAAACACGTATTTATTTCCTATAAAATTTCATATTATTATGAAATCATATAAGTAATAGATTAATAAATTCATTAGGTATATGTGATAATATTTGAATTTGATATGAACCCAAAAAATGTAAGATTTAATCAAATATATTGAATGTGTTATTTTACGATTTTATCTGTAATGTCAAAGTATGTCGTTTATAGTGCGTAACTCAAAATTCGATGAAATGAGATTTTATTAGACTATGATAAAATAAGTGTTTCTGAACATTTGTTTTTGTACAAGGAAATCTTTTTATCATAACCCATTCAATTACTCACAAAATAATTACAATATTGAGAACAATTTTTTGATTTATCAGTTATAAATGACGTTTTAGCATCATCCGTTATAACTTATAGGGTTGATAACTTAATTTTTTTTTAATGGCAACATACACATTCACCTAGATTGCATAATAGAGATTGATCTAATTAATTGATTAACAATAACTGTTGACCCATTATTTTAGAAGTTATTATAATTTTAAGGTATAAACTGGAGATTAAAGGTATAACAGTAATTATAATTAGACTTTCTCAATCGCACGTTTCGCCTAAGTATAAAACTGATTACTTATAGAAGTTATCGTAACGTTTTTCTTTATTTAATCTAATATTACATTAAACAACCTTTAATTTAAAATAATTAAGAGTGAAGCAAATATTCCGTTATGATGCAAAATCGTCAATTATTACCGAAAATTGTATAGTTTTTCCTGTAATACTCAATAACTTATGGAAATTAAAATTTCGAATAATTTTTTTTTTTTATGTTTCGAATACGCATAGAAGCTTTAATACTAATATTTTTACTGTCATAAAAATATAGTTGTAAAGTTAATAATAAAACAGATTTCATTTTTTTCTTTCCAGAAATTTATAGTATCCTATATTCTATAATTTAAAAAAAAAAAAGATTTAGACTTATCCCTACCATTTTTTATTTTAATAGTACCAACATCAAAAATTACGTCATTGTCGACTTAAGAGGATGACTCATAGAAGTCGTCGGAACAATCTTATTTTCGAATAATTATTTTTTTATCATCTTAAGTACATTGTATTAGCTTTAATTTAATATAGGTTTAAAGAAGGTAGTTTTTTTTTGTCAAAAATTTTGATATGATTTTTAAGCCTCGAAGATTAATGATTAAATTTATAAAAATATCATATCGTCAACAAGGTAAAGGTTTGAAGTGTGATAAATAAAAATTTCGAAATAATTCAGCTTTCAAATAGTTATTTTAATGTAAAATGAAACTAAAAATAAAAGCATTCACTATTTTATGACAATTGATTTTTAGACATGTTTCATTTTATTACGGAGAATAAGGGGAAATTTACCTTTCTCTTTTAGAAAAGTTTAGTACGGTATATAGTATTGTTTAAAAATAATATACTAATATTTTTAAAACATATAATGTTATATTTATTTTATTATAATGTTTTTAAAAACACTATTTTTTAAAATTGTTATCTGAGTAATCTTGGTAGATTATAAACAGCTTAGATATTTTGGCCACCAGTGTTTCAAAATCTAGCTTTACCATTGATTACACTAGTTTACAACAAAGTTGACCTATGACTAATGATAGTCATTTTTTATGTAAAATCGTCCAATGAGTCCAAAAATGAAGTCCAAAATACAAAAAGTAGAACAGTTTTTGAGTTATTGCGAAATTAACGTTTTTCTTGTGCCACGAAAAAGTGTTTTCATTATATTCTAAATATCTTTGATTGCATTCATTTTAAAATGTATTTTTTATTGGTGTATTTTACGTAAAAATCTGAATTTTTTTTGACATTTTGAAAAAAATGATAAAAATTCATTGGTGTAAATTCGTAGATAGCAAACGAGAAAAAAGTCAGATAAAAAATTGTTTAAGATAAAAATTGCAGATAATTTAATATCGTTTAATTTTATGTAAAAAAAATGAAAATCGATTAAATGCAATCAAAGATATTTAGAATATAATGAAAACACTTTTTTGCGGCATACGAAAAACGTTAATTTTGCAATAACTCAAAAACTGTTCTACTTTTTGTATTTTGGACTTCATTTTCCGACTCAGTGGACGATTTTACATAAAAAATGGCTATTATAAGTCATGGGTCAGAAAATTTTTTTTTATTTGTAATCTAGTGTTATTTTAAAAATAATAAAACTCAAATATATATATGCATTCATAAAAGTATTTTATATTACAATAGGTGCGAAAAAATAAAACATCAAATTTAGTTAAATTAATAAAAAATGTTTCATATAGAAGGTTTTCGAAAATTAAATGATCGCTTGAAAAAAAAAACAAATAAATACTAACACGGGTATGCATGTAAAACCAATGAGCAAATTCATTCGATAATTACTGACAGTTTTCAATATTAATCGGTTAACATTAATTGCTCATTTTCTTCTTCTTTTACTACAAATACGAATTTTTCCAACACTTGTTCGTAATTGAGTGTTTTACAACCATTTGAGAACATTTTTATTAAATTTGCCTCGATATTCTCTATGTTCGGATAATCATTCAATTCTTCACATGTCGCTTTGATTTCTTTATAATTAAAATTGTGATTGATATTTTGGCCATACTTACTTAATGTTGTTATAATTATACGGGCCTGGTTAGAAAAAAAATAATTAGTCGATTGTTACACAATTTTCACTTTTACAATGTACCCTATTCGGCAATCCATTGATGACTTCTTTTGAAATTATAGTATTAGGATCTAGTTTATTCAAGATTTCCATACATACTTCTTTTTGAATCAGATATAAACACTGTAAATATAATAAATACGTTCAGTACATTTACAATACTGACAACGAAAAAAACATGACAGTGTTAAACCAATAGCTTCTCAGCTATTTATCGAAACTAAAAACAGTTAAGTATTTGTTTTTATAGATTACAATTTAATACGTATATGTATTACTATCTTAGTATTATTTATAATAATTTTAATTATTATATACTTATATTATATTAAAAAAAATATGTATATAGTATGTATTATACATGGGAGTCATGTAGTAAATAGCTGAGGAAGTATTTAATAACGTCGATATTAGTTTAATATAAGTTTTACTACAGTAGTAAGCAATTTTTAAATTCTTAAGCAGTACAATAATGTCATATAAAGGGAAAATGCAGGCCAAGCAAATTAACAAAGGTGGAAAAAGAATATATAAATGGAAACATGAAAAGTATAGGGGTATTAACCTTTTGACTAAGAAACGTGTAGTCCACAGGTCAGGACGTTTATTGCGAGTCACTTTGTATTTTGGACGACTAAATTTATAATGTGTTACATTTTTATATTGTATTTTGATTTTGTGTATATTACTTTCGGTAAATAAAAAATAACTATTCAAAAACCTGCACTTAGTGTTAATATTTTATATACTTTTGTGTCTACGTCGGGGTACTACTGACCTATGACAGTTAAGCCTATTTATTGTATTTATGTTAATAAGTGAAAAATTTGTATTTACGTCGAACGTATTAATTTGCAATGAATGATTAAAACCTAAGAAATTACCACAAAAAATTCTCATGGTTTCATACATTTTTAAACATATTTTGTAGAAATGAAGATAAATTGATTGTCTTTTTTAAAAAATGTAAATGTTGCACATAGAAACAATTCATGTGTAAGTTTGACATTCTTATTAGGATAGTCTTGGGTAAAGACTGAGATCGCATCGAAAACAACAGGTTGGAAATCCAAACCCTTTGCATATCATGAAAAGATAGCGTTTTCTTCTGTCCTTTTCTCAGTACGTATATCAATGTTTAATACCGTATTATTTACTATTATATCAATTACTATTGAATATTAATAAGATATTTTTTTAATAAAATTTTTCTTAAATTCTACTCTACAAAATAGCTATCTTAGATTATTTTTTTACATTTTATTTAAAATTTAAAAATAATTAATATTTTTAATAAAATATAAAAAAATTAATTATTGAGATATAGCTTTAGACCTAACGTATAACTATTATTTAAAAAAAAAATCAACTAAAAATATTAACTGGATCAAAAGTTATTTAAGTTGTCAGTGAGTGGTTGGCCACCCTGTATATGAACTCAACTTTGAAAGAAATTGTAATTAATTAAAAAAAATAACGGACCAAATAACCAAAACACAATGAAATAGATGAAAAAATGGGATTTTAAGGTTATTAGATAGATAAATGTAATGACATTTTAATAAAATAAAATAATTATTTTTAAATTTAAAATAAAATTTCAATTATATTATTAACACCCTTAAATCTATAATTCTGTTTTTTATATTAATAAATCTTGATCAACATCAACATGAAATTGTAAACTAAACTTTATATTTTGAACTAGAGTACTTAACAATAACCCTGAGGATGATCTGCCATATTCCCAGCCAAACCAAATGCAAACCCGAAAAACCGTAGATTTTGTACATTATTCTTAGGGAAAATTGATTATAAATTAATATAATTGTGAAAATTTTATTAAAACATTCATTAAATTTGAAATCAACATAATAAAAACAAATAATAATGGTAAATAAAATCAAAAGAATTAAAATTTAATTAAATTTAATAAAATAAGATATAGTTTAATGTAATTTAATTTGAAAGAATTATTATTGAAAAGAATAAAAAAATAATTTAGATCTTGAGTACATATGAGTTACATGAAAATAAACAATGAATCATAAATTAAAATTATGAAATCAAATAATTATTACAAATATGATCAATATGGACGAAGAAAAAATGGTAAGGGATAGTAGAATTATTTATATTCACCATAACTAAACCAATTAATGATCAAGGTATTTTCTTTTTTCTTTTTCATACATTAGTCATAAATAAACCTAAAACGGACCATAGCGTTGGTTGTTCGTTGGCAGATGTTGCATTATTTAGTATAAAGAATTAACAGGTGGTAGGAACATTTTATTCTTCTAAATAAATAAGTATGTGTGACACTGAACCTACGACGCGCACTATTTAAATATAGTTAGCTATGAGCTTATACACACCATAATTTTATTACGTCACCCATTCGCTAAACAACTGTTCGTTGGGAAAAAGAATAAATTTATCGAAGGTATAATAATATAAGGTCGGCTTGGCCTAGTCGGTAAAAACGTTTACTTCGGCGCACGTGATGCCAACGAGATTTTTCTTGCCAATTGGTGGTGATGTCTGGTGCAAACCGGCCTTAAATACCCTTTGCGTGCTTAATTGACCTAGCCAAGAACCATCTTTGACTCCCTAACTTGTGAAAGAGGACCACCGCCCTCTGTAGCATGTTCGGGAAATAGAAGGATGTAATACTGATCATTATTTTTTATTATATTTTAATTAACAAATTCGAACACTATTATTAAATACACGTACCTTTTTTTTGTTTTTATTCGGTACCATTGCTGTTATGGTTTTTATAGATATTTTATTAATTTTCTTATGTTCCAAAAAACTTAAACATATGTGTGAATAGTTAACTGAGTTTTTCATTGCTTATTGGAAAAAAAAAAATTATATGCAATTATTGAGACCTTAAAATACCGTTTATAATAATTACATTTACACTTAGTTATCATATTGCTACGAAGTTTATCAAAACCAAATATTTTCGTGGAATGATTATAAAATGCTGCATTTAAGTCATCACAGTCAAAAACACCACTTTCATTTTTGTCAAAACTATTAAATCCATTTATAATGTTTTTCATTTCTTGTTTATCTATTTTCACTTCCTAATATACAAAATGAGTACTAATAAAAAATGAACAAAGAAAAAGAAACAAAAGTATAACAGATAATTTGATAAATTACTTCATGTGATTCACAGAATTCAGCCATATGCTTCAACAAACGTTTGATGTTTTTTCCTTTTTTATCTAAACATGATTTTAACATATAAACACTAACTTTAAACAAACGAATAAATCACATGCAATGATATATTACGTGATAGGTTGTACTCGAAATCAACGTTGCGTTCATGAGCAATAGCAGCCATATCTTCATTTTGCAAACCATTATTAGTTCCATCAGTTTTAATTATATTAACACATCTATTTAAAAAAGCTATGTCAATGAAACCCTAAAAATTAAAAAATACACGTCACGTAATGCTGTTAAAAAAACCTAAATATTATATCTAGTTCCTTTAAAGTGTTTTATTAATGTTTCCAAGTACATAAGAGCCACAAATTGAGATAAAACAAAACGCCAATTGTTAAAAAATGCAATGTATTTTTTTTACAATAAGCTGGTTATTTGTAAACAAATTTAAAAAGTGTTTGATTTTACCTATTTGAGAATACAAAATCACTTCAATTTGTGTTCATAAAAAATGGCGTGTACTTATATTGGTAAGTAAGGAAATGAATTTCTATTGTTCTCATTGTTTGTAACAATTGACCAGTTTCATTATTTTTTGAACACTCTGTATATGTTTTAAGTGCATTTACATATCGTTATTGTAGAAATTGCGTAAGTTCATAACTTTTAAATACGTTTTCAACTCAAAATGAGATTTCGATGAAGAACAAGTGCATTGAAAATGGACACACTGTGTCAAGACTACTACTTAGGGTAAAATAATCATAACTAAATTGATAAAAATATCTTAGTTTTTATTATTAAAGCATGTGGATAGCCAAGAATATCAAATTAAAAGATAGTTTACTTTTTGATATTAAATGATAGCCAATGATTAAGGTAAAAGAGAAAAATATTTTATGCATAATTTATAGTTAAAATTTAGCAATATGAAGCAGTCTAATATTTGAAACTCAATGAAAATCCAGAAACTTATTCAATATATTTTTGTACTCTTTGAATTCCAAGCATTTCTAACATAAAATAGGAATGAAATTTGGGTGGAGGATACGTACACTAGTTCCCACTCGCGCTACATACCCAAATTAAATATAAAAATGTTTGTAACTTAATGAGTGTATATTCTAAAATTATTATCGACCTACCTAATTTTTACGTAGGAAAAGGGATAAAAAATGGTTATTTCGAAATTTTGAAAAAACAATTTTTTTAACTTTCTTTGGCAACTTTTCGTTGGTAAAAGTTAGTTCAAATAATTCATTTAAAGATTTAGTTTATAAATATTAATATTATTAAATTTGATCAAATTGTAAACCATTTCGATAAATAATAAAAGCGATAAATTGTTTTAAAACTTATCGAATTGTCAATATCGTAATATTTTCTGTTTATTTAAAACAAAATTTTATTTATGAATAAATATTTTAAGTATTGTTTCAAATTTTACCGTCGACGGGCTAAGTAAGCACAACATTTTATTTTTTATGTTTTATATTTACAATTTTATCCATGTAAGGTGTGAATCTAACTTACGATAACGGGTGGGGCGGTTTAATAATGTATTTACATATTTACATGTACAGAGTGTCACACTCTAATAGATGTCTCTAATAAATTTTGATTCAGTAAATATTTTGTGTTAATTTTTTTCAAAACAAATTTTATAGTTTTGTTTACGTTAAAAGAACATTTATTATTATTTATATCTTATAAGAAAAAAAAATGTTTTTCTTCTTTTATAATTTATTTGAAATTCCTGTTCAGGAGGTAAGGAGGTGATCTAGTGGAAGGGTTTTTTGTTTTGATAAGAATTAACTTTTTTTTTTTATCACATTGTGTGTGATTTTTATTAAACATCAATGGAGATACGACACGCTTATTACACTTGGGCTCGCAAACGTATACACATACTCACTGACAGTTACCTACTGGCAGAACATTATCGGAATAACATAAAAAAAAAAAGAATGTGTGTACTCAACAATTTCAAAATGTCCATTTTTTTTTTTATTCTCACAATACTTTTGATGGGTCGTAACAACTTTAGGATAAGTACTTATTGAATTACGAGCATTTCAATACACAGTGAAGAAGGCGGGCAAAGGACACGTACACCAGTATGGGCTGCACTCACTCGCGTTACATACAGTGACACGACTTACGTTGCAGTGTAGTCGACACCGGTTTAGATGGTAGAGACCCGAGAGCCGTTTATTATTGATGAGCAACAACAGATTATTTTTAAAAATAAACCGGAAACGCGTAATAATGATCTTCGCATAATATAGCGGCACTTTCGTTGTCTTCGGCGACACCGCATGTTCTCCGACGTCAAAAAGTTAGCAGCGTTGATGGGGACGGTGCGCGGGCATGAATCGGTTCGTCGTGTCCCGGTCGTGCGATACTTGCTGGCTTTGCACTGTGCCCGTATGTCAGTCGCNTGCGATACTTGCTGGCTTTGCACTGTGCCCGTATGTCAGTCGCCCTGTCCATGTAGGGCGGCGGCCGATAAAGGTGCGGCGGGTCATCGTGTATCGCGAAGGGACGCGGGACCGGATCAACACACTCTACATATTAAAATGCTTGTAACTCAATAAGTATTTATCCTAAAGCTGTTATCAAGCCTTAGACATTTTTCATTAGAATAGAGCTAAAATATGGTTAATTTGAAATAAAAAAATATGTTATTTATTTTTTCTTATTAGAGATAAATAACAAAAAAAAACTCAGCACAGTGACGACGACACAGCATAATTAGGACAATGCAATAAAACAATTATTAATTATATTCTAATAGATTAGAATCTATACATGATCTATATGTAAGTTAAATAATTAAAAATAATTATTTAATTATTTTTAATAATTTTTAATTAATAAGTAAACAATTAAAACAAAATATTTTTGTAACATTAAAGCATTTTTTGATTATTGACACGTGTGAAAAAAATTGTAAACGGTTTGTCAACTAGTCTCGGTTACTAACATTAAAGGAAGAGTTCCTATTTTTTATCTAATATGTATGTAAGTATAATAGTTACATAAATCTTTAAATAATTATAAATGACAATAAGACTTTTTGAAAATTTAGTAAATTCGTATCACAGAGAAAACGATTTTTAGATAGTTAATTTATTTCACATTTCATTAATGAAATGAACAGCATCGTCAATAAACATACTTACCAATGATTCGGCTATAAAGTATAATGAACATATAATAATTACAGATTTAAAATGAAACATGATGAGTTATTTTCATTGAATAAAAAATTTTGCTTTGTATATTAAAATTTAATGCGAATTTTTTTGATAATTTTGCCAACTAAATTACAGATATACATGAAAACATATTTATCTTAATGTGTTATCCCTCAATATAGATTTTTCTTGGTAAATATTAACCAGTTAGACAATAATTTAATCAAAATATTGTCTAATATTTGTATACTTTTAAGTACTCATTTAAACTAAAAAATACATGTGTTTTTAAAATTAAATGTGCACATCAGATCCCATAATAGGAATTGATGTTTTTATTATTAGTATTTTAGCGTTACAAACATATTATTTAGATAAATTAATTTAAATAATAATTATTAAAAAATCATGTTCGTCAACTGATAATTTTATTTTTTTCCTGATATGACAAAAAAATGAGGATTATGGATCTTTGATAATTTATATAGTAAATGTCAATCCTTATCAAATCGAAAGTAATATCCTTTTTTATCATTGCTCGCTTGAACCATTTATTTTAATATTGAGGTAATCTTTTTTACCAAGTCAGATGTTATTTTCATCATCTTCATAAAATTTAAAAACGAACTAAACTAGTTTACTACTAAAATAACATTACCCATTTTTTCGGAGTTGTAGTAAAATTCTTCTTTTTTTATTTTCTCAAAATAATCAGTCAGAGCGTGTAGTATTCTGATGTCAGTGAGCCGATCTCAAAGTATCACTAGGACAGCTGCTCTTCTTTCAAAAGAGGTGGGTAGTTAGTCGATGTTCACCATATAAATCAACCATTATAAATAATTCAAGTATTAATTATTGTGTGCTGAACTATTTTTACATTTTAAGATTTTGTAACGTAATAAAATTATGTTGTGTGTAAGGTCACAGGTAACTGTATTCAAAAAGTGCGAGACTTATATTTGTAAGTTCAGTGTTACACAATCGCATATGATTATTTATTATATTAATGAATTGTTCCTACCACCTTTTTTCCGCATTCTAAATACCATATTATAAATATCAATGGTTAACCAACGCTCTAAGCATTGTCCACTGTCCTTCCCATGTTATAACAAACCGACTTGGAAGACGGGAAATAATAAGGTTATGTTCAAAAAATTTCACATTATAGTTTCTTCTTGAGAGTATAAACTCTTATTTGGCTTGGTCATCATTATTATGGCACTTCATCAATCAAAACTTGGACATCTGGATATCTATATTATTATGTAGTACTGTTATTCCTTTTGTACCCTTGCACAATTCGATAATAGTTAATGACTATACATAGGATTCATATATAAATTTTGTCTGATTAATGGTCAATTATTATATTTTGATTTTTCTTCCTTTTTCCCTTTCTTTCCATGAGAGTTCCTCGGGTGTAGTGAGGGTAGACTCATTGCTCCCTCTATATTTTTGTAGAGGATACCTACTGACGTTAGTGACATGCCATTATACCCTGACACATGCGTTGTATCTGTCATGCTCAGGTTTCCCCTTTTTCTCTTATTTGATTTTGTATTGTTGGTACATTAAATTTACTATCTTAATTCTGTTTATGACCTTGAAAATTAATATACTTAAAAAGGTAATTGTTATCCCGTTAATATTGTTATATATCTGTAACTGTTCTTATAAGGAACATTCAAATATTGGTCACTGAAAAGTAGGCTATGATTATCTTATAATAAATCTGTGTTTTTACTCTTTTGGGAGAATACATAGGCCGTTTGGGTGTTTGACTGTTTGTAGACAGCTGGCTGTACATTATTGTGATAAATGACACTAAATATAAAAATTTTTATGTGAACTAAATGCTAAAAATTGTATAAAATTAAATTAATAAGCAGAAAAAATATTTATTATATCCAATAAATTTATTGTTTCTATTTGATGACTTATTAGTCACCTTTATAATTTTAGACATCCTATAAATTTAACTTGTTACTAATTTTGTTTTTTCACTTTAATATTTTATTGTAGTGTTTTTATTATATATATTTTCCTCTTGTTATGTTTGGGTGTTATATTTAACTTAATGTATTTTGATCTGTGGTTTTATTTAACATTTTTTTATTTGATTTTGTTCTGTTTATGGCAACTTTAAATTATAATATTGTATAAATTTTAATAATTGTTATATAAATTCAAAAAATGTTAATCATAGAACCTTTTTTCCCCTAGGATAAGTTACGAAATCCTGTTTTGCCGTTGGCTTGCCTCGGTCCATGGTGGACACTTTTCGTGGTTCTTGTTAAGTTAGGCTGGTTATTATGAGTTTAGCTTACAACTGTCTTATTCATTTAAATTTTAAAAATTTAGATGCTAAAACGTTATAATCTGTATGATAATTTCTATACAATATAATTGTCCATGCCTTACACAAAAATTATTTATTTAAATATGTTTGACTTCTTAGTGGTATCAATCGTTCTTTTTATTAATATGTACAGAATAAAATTTCAATTATAATTATAATTATAATTAATAATTACTGGTAAATTATGACTGTAACTGTATATTACTCACTGTACCCTTCTACAAATTCTGATTTTTACGATAACATCATCATTCTTAATTATTTGTATAAGTCGTTTTAACATAATATTTACAGTTTTGATGTTGATTATGAGTATCTCTCAATAATAATAAATAGCGTTTTAGTATAATTGGTCATAATATTTTATTTTAACATAATATTGAAGGTTAGGATCCAGACTTCAACAATGTTGCAGCCGGTTCTGGACGGTGTTTAAGTGTCGCTTGTCGGCCATTGTTTGGTCACAGATTGTGTTCATGTAAGGACACAAAAATTATTTATTTAAATATGTTTGACTTCTTAGTGGTATCAATCGTTCTTTTTATTAATATGTACAGAATAAAATTTCAAAAGAAATGATATACTAACAAAAACTTAAAAGTGATAAGTCTTATAAACCTCTTATTTCAAAGGAAAAGTAGTGTTACGTTTTTTTTTGTAAAGTGAACGTATTTCACCGTAAAACCGCAAAGTCTCCTATGAAGTTTTTGTTATTTTTTGTAAATGCTAAAAATTAATTAATGAACGATGTTTACTTGGGAATAAACTATGTAGTTGTTTCGTTATTTTTTTACTTTCAAATTTAGTGTAAATTTTAGTTTATAGAAAATAAACTAATTAACAAATTAAAGTGCTACAGACGTTGTGCCCAAAAAATTACATTATTTTATTAATACACTTCACGCGTAAATCCATGAGTAATTCTTCCCTTTTATTTGTATCTCTAAAACTCAAACTAAAAAATTGTGTGGCTAAATATTAGCTCAATACTCATTTACTTATTACGTGAGTGATTAAAAGGAAAAAACACCCTGAAGAAACAATATTTTCTCATGGGATTTTTTTTACATTGCGAATGTGACTATTTTAGCCCTAAACTAATCAAATGTTAAGCCATACAAAAAAAAAAAAGCTGTGTTGCTCATTAAAATGAATTTATATGAAGTTCTGCTACGATGTTTGCAGTTAGTTTCTGAGTGGGTAACCACACGAGAGCTTTAACAGAGACAAACGCTTGGTCCTTTTACTGACTCCATCAGTAGTAATATAAATATTATTCATCTATTTTTGTGTATATTAAAAAAAATTACATTAAAACTGACTAATAATTTTTAATCGCATAATGCTATTATAATTAAATTTAAGATAATATTAGTAGTACAAAAGTTTTTTTAGTGCAGTTGTGATCCCGCGTAGTCAAGTTGAAACATTTTTTTACATAAATAATGTATAATATCCAATAAAGATTTTTAATCACTTAATAATACATTTTATATTTTAAAAAAAGTATCATTAGTATTTTAGCTTTGGTATTAATTAATTTTTCCTACCAAATGTTACATTTTATTAATGTATTAATGGAAAGTTAAAAAAATATCTATATTTTTAATTTTTTAACTTTTAAATTTTTATATATATATATATAACTAATGTATTTTTTTGTTATATTTTAGATTCTAATAATAATAACGATTATTATAGTGTTCAAAATATAGCTATATAATAGCGTTTTATAATTCTATGATTTTAAGGTCAACGATTCAATTCTAAAGGATAATCATATGACATCTATAAATGTTTATTGTATTCAATATAATTATTAAATTATTTAAAACTTAATTTTTGTTATATTTTTCTAAGACNATTAAATTATTTAAAACTTAATTTTTGTTATATTTTTCTAAGACTTAACCCAAAATATTTATAAATGTGAAACTTGATGGAGAAATTGTCAAGAAAAAAAAAATTATGAGTTGAAGTTCATTAATTCCCTACAGTTTAGAATTATTGCAATAATGATTTCAATGACAATAATATTTAATATCAAAAATATATGAGATTGTAAGTGAACACTCATTTCACAACAAAACTAGTTTTGTACAGAATGATAATTGTTTAGATTTAATTTCTTTCATATGATAATGTTCAGTATTCTAACCAAAATTAAAATGGCTATACTTAGTTATATGTAAATTATAATTAATAATTACTGGTAAATTATGACTGTAACTGTATATTACTCACTGTACCCTTCTACAAACTCTGATTTTTACGACAACATCATCATTCACAATTATTTGTATAAGTCGTTTTCACAAAATAATTCATATAATAATACAGTTTTGATGTTGATTATGAGAATCTCTCAATAATAATAAATAGCGTTTTAGTATTATTGGTCATAATATTTTATTTTAACATAATATTGAAATTTTGTCATCTAAGAACTAAAAACTATTCATATATCTATAGTGTGTGTTTAATTTATTTTGAAATTAAATGTGAACACATACGCTTATAACCTGAACATTTATATAAATTTTATTTGGTCGTTGATCACAAAATACTACAATTATACGTTTTACCTTTCTCTATTAGAGAAGTCTGGTAAAGTAGTCTCTGTACATTATGGACAATATAGATGTTTTGGCAACCGGAGTTTGAAACACTAGAAGTACCATTGGTTTTTGTAAAAAAAAAATAAAACTCAAATATGTATATGCATTCATAAAAGTGTTATATATTACAATAGGTGCGAAAAAATAAAACATAAG